GCCCATATCGGCGTCAATAATTTGTTGAACAAACCGGTTGCATTTGATATGTATACGTTGCGCGGGTACCTTTATAGAAAAAGTACACAACAGGTTTTGGTTGCACCGTAGTGCGTTAAATGGTTCAACCTGCAGAGATTTGGTATACGAGTAGTGCAAATTCAAACTTTCGCTCGTGGAGTAGTGATATCATCAGTGTTACCAAAATCGCTAATTCACTCACATATTTCAGCCCACACTGTCTGTGACTAGTTAGTACCACGCCACGCCTTTATTCAAGCAATGATGCTTGTAAAAATAGATGCGAAACTCACCACTCTTGTATTTTGAATCAAGTGCCTCCATGCAAACCAGTCTGTCTATGGAGTAGTTTCATTGAAGCACAAGATTAAGCAAAGGTAGGGGTACTTCATGAAGGCGAAATTCGTGCAAAATTGACACTCTCGAGAAAAGTCGCCATGAACACCTCAGCCAGGTCGCTTCGTGAAGCCCTTGCTACATGCACGGCTTTATTGTAAAAAGCAGACCTTTTCGGGTACTTCCTCTAAAATGACGGTCATTATTTTTGCCAACACAGAAGAAGGAAATAATGCTCCTTTGTCTGATAAATGTCCTCTCAGGAGGCGATTCGAGGCTCTGTTGTTCGTACCATTTGTGAACTCATGCTCCTAATCGGGAATTTTGAGGAGAACCTCTGTAAAACTACAGCTAAATCTGTCTGCCAACGACAATCATTTTCTTAGTCTATCACATGCATTCGAAAGACGATTTGATTCCCTGGACAAGGCCATGACTTTTAGTGACCCAGTTTGACAATATACGTTCAAGACACACGCATTCCTTTAATTACTCATTTTCTGCTATTGCGGACTTGTGTGAATCGTGTTTATTCACACTCCTTAATCCGGCCGCTCTATCCTCCGACACAGGGTTCCCCTTTTTGCAGCATGCCGCCAGCAGCGCGGATCCTCAACTGCCCATTCAGTCGAACGAACATTTACCGTAGATTATTCTCACATTTAGGTCTCAATGTTAGCGCATTTACGAATCACACTGCTGAGGTATAAATACGCACACACAAACCCTTCATATGACACAACGACACCAACGCGGTTGAGGCCTGAAGTAAACAGTTGTGTCCACGTCCTCTCCGGTCTTTTTCTCCATCGCGGGTATCAGGGAAGCGTAATCGGGCCAGAATTAATTAAGTGCCCCTGGCGTGGTTTATGACCACATGCTGCGGCGTACGACATGACATTGACAAATATTTCCGCTAACAGGTACTACGTAGACTAGCAACTGGAAGATTACTATAGGCTGGAGCAAAGGCATTATGGATAAGCCACGACTGAAATCGCATAAGACTCCAGCCGAAATCTGCTCACACAGAATCACTTTAAGTATATCTGTTTCTTGAGTTTAAAGTTTTGTTACGACCAGCTTAGACATCATCAGCATTGTTTGATTGGTTCCATTCAGTCACATTTACAGAAAGAACTTCTTTGAATAGTGCATATCTCAGACATAGAAAGCAGTCAGAGCATTCCGGATATATTGACACTAACACGTTTTGCTATTCGCCACACACACACACACACATCAACCGACGTCGCCAGTCTACCATTTCGAGTCTCCCTTTATGTCTAGCACATGCGTCGAAAGCTAGGCGCTATTATTTGGACAAATTTGGCATTTGGACCCCCAATACCTGCAAATGTCTGACTAAGTACGCTCGAGAAGACTGCATTTATTGATCGACCCGTTTTGTTCTGCTGCCTTAATCGCCACGCAAGTTTCAAGCACACCTCTTAAGTAGCGTTTAAATAAACCGGTTAAATGCTCTATCAAACTCTACGCGTAGTGGTATTCTGTATAAAGTGGGTCACAGCCTGAAGTGTTGGCTATTATTCGTGAAGTCTACCACTTGGCACAGTCTATTCGATTTCAGATGTGAAGATATATTCAGCCATTCAAATCACGAACAAACCGCGGCAAAACTGATTCTCCTGAGCACTTTAGGGAAGTTGAAGTATTTATCTACATATCCACAGATGCCTCACAAGTAAGGTCCACTATCGTGATGAAGGCAATTTTTTCCGTGGCAAAGTATTCGTTCGGCAAGAGGGCTTGAATTGTCCCACAAGGAAACGAGATCACACCCACTCTCTTTGGTTCTGCCAAGTGGCAGTTTGGATT